GTCGCGCACACACACCGTGCACCACGTGCTGCGCCACTTGCCGCGCACCACGCACCGTGCACCACGTGCTGCGCCAATCGCCGTGCACACGCGCTGCGTCACTCGCCGTGCACACGTGCTGCATCACTCGCCGTGCACACGCACCGTGCACACGCGCTGCGCCAATCGCCGTACACGCATGCACATGCGCTGCGCACACGCGCTGCACCACGTACTGTGCACACGTACCGTGCAGACGTGCTGCACCAGACGCTGTGCACACGTGCTGCGCCACTCGCTGTGTGCCACTCGCCACGCACACGTGCTGCACTACGCACCGTGGACACGTGCTGCGCCACTCGCCGTGCAGACGTGTCGCACCACGCACTGCACACACGCGCTGTGCGCCACTCGCCGCGCACACGTGCTGTACCACGCACCGTGCACACGCGTCGTATTCCTAGGCGCGCAGACCGGCTGCTGTGCTTCTCCGGTACGCAGGCACACGCAAGCCGACGCTTCCTGTGCACATGCGCTGCATCCCTTGCTGCGCGCACACAGCGCTTCATCTTCCGAGCATGCGCGGTGCCCTTCCCTTGCGTGACCGGTCAACAACAACGGTGTGGATTGGTTCACAACAGCAACAGCACAACAACGACACAGGCTGTGCTTCTCTCCTTCGCTGCTATGCGCACACATAGCTCACACCAGTACCATCGCACCAGTTGCGGAGGTACGGGGGAGACTTTGATATGATACCTCCACCACTGGCACGTCCCTGGCACCACTGTCACACCACTGCCATCCTCACATCACACTCGGCACGTCCCTGGCACCACTGCCACACCACTGCCATCCTCACATCACACTCGGCACGTCCCTGGCACCACTGCCACACCACTGCCATCCTCACATCACACTCGGCACGTCCCTGGCACCACTGCCACACCTCTGCCATCCACCCGGCACGTCCCTGGCACCACTGCCACACCTCTGCCATCCACCCGGCACGTCCCTGGCACCACTGCCACACCTCTGCCATCCTCGCATCACACTCGGCACGTCCCTGGCACCACTGCCACACCACTGCCATCCTCACATCACACTCGGCACGTCCCTGGCACCACTGCCACACCTCTGCCATCCTCGCATCACACTCGGCACGTCCCTGGCACCACTGCCACACCACTGCCATCCTCACATCACACTC